TTCGCCCTATCGTAACTGCGAACTGACCTGGCCTAGATAGACGTCCAATCAGAGACTAAAATTCTGAGATGGGGCGGGCTCTGGGTCAACGGCCCCGCCCCTTTTAGGGGCTCTCGGAGGTCGTGCCAGGGATTGGGCCTAGCCCGGGAGGGAGAAGGGGCTGTAGCCTCAAGTCTGCGGGACTCCTGGGACTAGGCAGTCGAAGTCCTTTCTTAGAGAAGGGGTCTCTCCAGCCAGCTCCTGCCTCCGACTTGCCCTGTCCCCTCCAGAAGGAGCTCCCATGTCCCTCTCTGTGTTGACCTTTCTATTCTAGAAACAGAGACTCCCTGATCTTTGCAATTTCGTGTGGGGAAACCAGGCTCACGAAGAACACACGTCAGGAGGAAAGCCAGGTTGGGATTTGAACCCAAGCCTGTGTGATTCCAAATCCTGGGAACTGTTAAACAGAAAATTTGGAGCCTTGAGTAATTAAGGAATTGGAATATCCCTATCAGCCAATTTAACCAATGACTGCAGATGGAACTGAGAAGGGACTGGTGGCAAGAGATACACACCCCAGTTCCATGGTCAAGGCTGAGGCAAGATAGTCCACCAGGAGAGCCCGGATTCAGAGAACCCAGGGCTCAGGTTTAGCCTAATTCTGCCCTTTGCTGATGTGTGACCTTGGACAAGTCATTTCCCTGAGCTTTCATTCACCTCGATATGATATTATTCTCATGAGTTTGCTATGCAGGTAAATGATTCATCATGTGCTTTGCATGTGGAGTAAGTGCTCAATAGATTCTTGGCATTATTATTATAGTGGTGGTGATTTGTTAAACGGGCTTCAGAGGACAAGGGGTTAATTGCTTCTTCCTGCTTGCCAGTCCTCATCCCCTGGAATCTGCTGTCAGAGCTGAATTAGATGCAGCCACCCACGCTTGCCCACTCAGGACTCTCCTGGGAGGCTACAGAGTTTATTCATTCAGCAAATGGTTCCCATAGTGTGTCGTGTCCCACCCACTGTCCCAAGCTGGGAGACTCTGTCTCAGGTCTGCTCAAGCCTGGCTCCTGAGAGGCTCCAGAGCTACGGGAGAGCCCTACTGGATCAGGGTTAGGCCACAGAGAAGAGACAGGGTTAGAAGAATTTTTTTCCAATAAGACATCTATGTTTCATCCCTCCCCCTCATACCAGGGATTGCACTTAGGGGCACTTAACCACTGAGGCACATCCCCAGCCTTTTTTTGTATTTTATTTAGAGACAGGGTCTCACTGAGTTGCTTAGTGCCTTGCTAAATTGCTGAGGCTGGCTTTGAACTCACAATCCTCCTGCCTCAGCCTCCCCAGCCACTGTGATTATAGGATTACAGCTGTTCACCACTGCACTGGGCCCTTGTGTGTGTGTGTGTGTGTGTGTGTGTGTGTGTGTGTGTGTACTGGGGATTGAACCAGTATCAAAACTGAGCCACAACCCCAGCCTTTTTATATTTAATTTATATTTTACTTAGAGACAGGGTCTCACTAAATTGCTGAGACTGGCTTTGAACTTGCAATCCTTCTGACTCAGCTTCTAGAGCTACTGGGATTAGGTCACCAGGCCTGGCCTCCACATTTTTTATTGGTGCATCATAGTTGTACATAATGATGGAACTTGTTACATATTCCTACATGTACACAATGTAACTATAATTTGACCAATATCACTCCCCAGCGGTTTCCCCCTCCCTTGCTGTCTCTCACCTCTTGGCCCCTTTACTGATCTAGAAGAGGAATTTTAAAGGTTGGACAGGGACCAGGTAGAGAGGAAGGTGTGGCTGCGATTTAGGCTGTGTGTGGAGAAGGTTTTGCGTGCTGAAGGGCCATGATATTTTCCCTGGGACAATGGAGAGCGAAGGAGGGTGTGTGAGCATGTGAAGGATTCAGATCTGGGAAAATTCCTCTAAGGCAAGCCAAGGGCAAGCTTGCAGCCCATGCGTTTTACTGAAAAGCTGAAACCTGGAGAGGAGCAGGGACTACCTCAAGGACACCCAGCCAGCTCGAACTCAGGCTCCTGGGCTCCCTTCCAAGAGGCGGGGACTTGGCTGTGGTCAGAGAAAAGCTGTCAGCCAGCTGTGTGCCATCTGCCTGGCCCTTGCTAGGAATGAAAAGACCAACCAGCAGCTTCCAGCAGCTGCCACCAGCTGCGCCACAGTCACCCTGGGGCACCCTCTGCCGGTAGACAGAGGGAACTACAATTCCCAGCGGTCCTTGGGACATGCCTTGTACGCCCGCGCAGGTTGAGGAGTCGTCATTCTGCCACCTGCTGGTCGATCGGAAGACTAAGCTCCCTGTAGGCACGACTTTGGTGCGCAGGCGTGGAACTGCAGGTCCAGGTGCGGACCGCGGCTGTGCAAAGTTGGGTGTAGGAGAAACTACATTTCCCATAAGTCTCCTTTCCCACCCCTTAGCCGCGTAGTTGTGGGCTCCGGAATCTTTGGCGGCTGGGACATCGTGACCCGAATCTGGACATGGCTTTCTTCGCCGGATCCCTATTGGGCCCCGCTGGCAAGTCGGCGGCGCAGCTAGGTGGCAGGTGAGTCCTCAGGGGACACGTCTTCAAATCTGGGAATAAAGGCGGCCTCCGGGGCTGGCTCCTGAAGTTTATCGTCTCCAAGACTCGACAACGCTTTGCGCACTCAGAATGCGCCTTTTCCAACTAGCGTCTGGCCCCGTACAGATGTGAAAGTCAAGGCTCAGAGAGGTTGTACGGTGCGCTGAGATCGCACAGCGCCTCTGCTGACCTTCCTTATTGCTTCTCTTGCCTCTACAGGTTGTTACAGCCCAGGATATGGTTGGGGTTCCCAGACTCCTGGGGCCTCCCTGTCTTGCAGCAGGCCCGTGGCAAGGCGCGCGGAAACGAGTATCAGCCGAGTAACATCAAACGCAAGCACAAGCACGGGTGGATCCGGCGCCTGAGCACGCCGGCCGGCGTTCAGGTCATCCTCCGTCGCATGCTCAAGGGCCGCAAGTCTCTGAGCCACTGAGGATGGTGACGCTGCTGGCAGGACTCCGGTTAAAGCATTTCCGTTGCCTAGGACCTCACCTCGCGCCTTTGCGGGGAGCTGGGGAGCAGAGAAGACTTGGGCATAAATGCTCCCCAAATCGTGGGGTTGGCTTAGGGGAAGAAGTTTGGGTGGGACTGAATGTGGGGGAATGGTAGTCAGCTTGGCCAAGTCTCTTTTTATGCTTTTAAAATACGAAGAATTTCGATCATTGGTACAGTACACAGAACAGTATAAGGAACCGCTGTGTCTCCAGTACAAAGCTCGATCGCCAGCCATCCACAACCGTCCTGCCCCCTCCTGTGTTACTTTGAAGCAGATCTCAGGCATCAGGTTATTCTGGGGATATTTCAGAATGTATCTCTCCAGGATAAGGGCTTTTTAAATTATAATTAAAAAACTATAACCCCCCAAATTACCAGTAATTTGTAAATGTCAATAAATGTTAATTCCAAATTCCCTCTTGTTCTACTTGTCATAACTTACAATCTGGGAAGGCTGGTGAGAAGGAGAGGCGTTTCACATCCTCTACCTGCCCCTTGCGAATGGGCTTGAGACCCTGGGTGAGGCTTTAGTCTTCAGGCTACTTTGCTCTGTTGTTGTTGGAATAATAATACTTAATAGCGTCCACGTACAAACTTACTGAGCACTTTATGTACTAGGTGCCCATTCCTTATTCAGTAGGGGCAATCTGTCTCGTGGGGAAAGTGAATTTACACCTAGGCAGGAGGATCAGGGCTGAGAGGGGGATTGTGAAGGCTATAGGAACCCAGAGCGGGCACCTGACTTGACTGACATTGGGAAGAATCAGTCAAGGAAGAACTACCAGGAGGGATTGGGTAGGGGTCACGACACCGGGCAGGTGAGGGAAGCCAGAGGGGCCCAGAATTTGGGACACTAGGGAGCCACATGAGGCTTTAAAGCAAGAAAGTCTAGGTTGTCAATTAAAAAATAATTAAAGCAGCTAATGCGGGAGTCGTCTACCGAAACCCAAGGTTGAAACCACGGGGAGGAGGCTGAGAATGTTTTGGTCCTCACCTTGCGGGACCGTCGTGAGACCTCAAGGGACACTGTATGAAAAAGCGCAATATATCCGACGTGCGAAACCAAGAGTTGTGAACTACAACTCCCAAGAGGCTTCGCGGGTGCGGCATCCGCCTACTTCCGGATCTCATTTTCTACGCTTCCAAGTCCCGGGCGAGGTTTTGCTTCCTCGACCAAACTTGACTATGAAGGGAGGAGGCGTGGCAACCAATGGGCATGTGAGTTAGCCGAATCTGACCAATGGGAGCGCGCACAAGGGCTATATCTTGGGGGCGGGGACAGGGGGCCAACCAATGACGGGGCTCAGTGGCGCCATCAGTGTACGCTGTGCCGTGGCTGGAAGTTGCTGTGCGGCGGCTGCTAAGAAGGCGGCTGTGGCGGTGGCGGCGGCGGCGGTGGCGCCACCCGCACCCGGAAGGGTAGCTTCTCCTCAGCCTCCAGCTCTGGCCCCGCCGCCTCCGGGCTGCGGGCGAGCTCCCCTGGCGGCGGCGGCGGCGGCTCGTCGGCCTGAGAAGCGGACTGCTGCCCGTTGGCCTCGCCGTTAGGCACAGACGCTTCAGTGGCCGTGACCGGGAGGGGATCAGTGCTGGCCTCGCTGCTGGGGATGGGCTCCATCTCCGGCTCGGCCTCGCCGGCGCCCCCCTCCCCTGGGGACGCAGCAGTCGCTGCCGCCTCTGCAGCCACGGCCGCCACTTTCTTCCTGGCTTCTCCCTCCTCCAACTCCCATGCCCCATTTTCTTTATCTAGTCACCTGTTTATGGGTTCCTAGACTGATTCCATAACGTCACTGTTTTGAATTGTGCTGAAATGAATATGGGTATGATATATATTTCAA